GGAAGGGATTCCCAGTGCAGCACAGGAGAAAGACTGAGGGGAAAAGTGCATGGAAACATACTCATTCCAGCCAGCTGAGAGGAAAGGTTGTTGGTGACTTCAGCCTGTTTTAATGCAGAAGGAGTACTGGGTCCCAGATCAATCAGGCTGTTCTCTGTCTCATTTGGTGCCTTTGAAGGAAGAAAAAAGAAAATGGTGGAGAGTTTCTGAAGCTTGGACACCCTGGCCCTACAATCCTAGCTCATTAATACTGGAGAGGAAAGCCCTTCTATACCCATTGAAAGATGCCAGTTGTGAAGCCTTTGCTTGTGAGAAGGGGGACAGTGATCAGAGAACTGGCTGGGAATAGTGTCCCAGGGCTGGCCTCAGTAGCCAGCCTCCCAGCTCTGCTGGATGTCAGTAAGTAGGGTAGATGCTGGTTCAGAGGACAGGGCAGTGCTCAGAGAAGGCTCATATAGGAATTGGTCCTCCCAAAACTCAGTACTGGAAAACCACAACTGCTGTTGCTCTGCTCTTGGTCTTTGGGTGAGAGGAAGACTCCCATGGGCAGGGAGGGCGAGGCTAGCAGTGGGAACCAGAGTGTCCTGCACCACCAGGGGTTCTGGTGCAGCTTGGCTGGGAGAGCAAAGCCTACCACTTCTGGGGGGGCAGACTGAACCTCTCTCCAATTCAGCAGGACCTGGCTGGACCTGTGGGATGCAGTCCGAGCTGCACAGAGGGGAAGTTGCTCTGAGTTACCTTGACAGGCTGTCCTGTCCGGAGGCGCTCAAACCTGCAAGAAAAATGACAGGATGCATTTCAATAGCATGTGCTTATTCACCCACAGATTTCTTATAAGGCTTGGCACAGCCTGTCCCTTCCTACATAATAGGAAGAGGGCAACATGGTTCAGGGCCTAATTTCCTCTCAAGACTGAAGACCCACACAGTTGACGTCTTCTGAGAGAGAAAGCTCCTTGTGATCTTCCAGAGCTACTTCTAAGCAAAATGCTTTAAACATAGCTCTCCATACAGACACAGGGCCTAAATTCCCTAGACTTCATCCTAGCAAAGAGATGTGTTTGATAAAATGGTAGGGAAAAAAACGGGGTGCTGATCCCACCTGGGCAATTTCTGTCCCCATCTGCCTCAGAGCCAGAAAACCAGCTCTTTCCATGCAGTTCCTTCTTCTTCTTCTGGGTTATGCCACCAGGGCATCTTTATATCCCATGAGTAACTTACACAGCAGTCTTGAAGGTACAGGAATTAGTCAGCAAAAACTGAACTGGCTTTGTTCTCAAAGAGGGAAGATACAGACTGATACATCTTCAGTATTATACTTGTGGGCAGATCAAAAGGGTGGGATAGGCAGCCTTCAAGGGGCAGTAAACTCTTGTGGGAGAGCAGGGCAGAGAAGGGAGGAGAGAGGTACCTTTCATGTCGCAGAAACACGTTATTGAGGTTGTCATTGATGAGAAGCAGCTCCTCAGTGAGTTGCTCATGGAGGACACGGGGAATCAGCTCCAGTACACGCTGCTGCATGGCTCTGCATGTCCGATTCAGCTCCTGTTCAAAGCAAGGGCAAGTTACCACACAGCTCACGCTAAGGCTGAGCACTCACAGATTTGGGAGTCTGACTGGAATAGACAGACTCCAGAGGCTACTGGGATCTATCAGGAACTGTTTGTTGATGGGCAACAAATATTGGTGTGAGAGGTAAATTGAGTCTGGGCTCTACATGGAATAATTGTATGCTTTTTATATAACACATTGCCCAGAAAAAAAGGCCCTCAGGGACAAGTCCCCATGTGAGATGATTCCAGTCTCAGTAGTGCTATTTCCCTCCACCTACCCTGTGTCTCCCTTATCCCATTACTCCCTGATAAGCCCCACATTAAATTGTCCAGTTGTTCCCCATGCCTGGCAGGCATCATGCCTCAGTCCATCAAGTCATTGCTAAATTTTGCTGCATGTGCCAGCCCTCCCCCCTGCCAGCGTTCCTTACTTGCAGCAGCTCCAGGTCAGAAGGCTCAGCCTGGGATGGCACCAGCTCCGTCAGCATCTCTGACATGACCTTTGTGTTCCCATTCACCACTTCCAGCTCACTGCGCAGCTTCCCGATCTGCAAAAGGAAGTGAAGTGACAGCTCCACCTGGGAAGACTGGGGAGGTAGCTGAGGTAACTCTGAATGGCAGTAAATAGCACCATGTTTGTACGTGTGTTCACAGAGCCGAAGGGAACAGCCACTGGAGAATTCACCACTGTCGCCACTCAGTTAAGCTCTCGGGAGCTCCCAGCAGAAAGACTCTCCATTACTTACCATTGAGTTCATTTGCTGGTAACAGATGCCAGGCCTTCACCTGGGACCTTTGGCTACTAGCCCAGCCTTGACTTTTAGTAGCCAGCACAGGCTGCTGTTGTGATTCAAATCTCTCTACAGCTAGCAGCTCCTGTGTGACAGCCACTTAAATGGTTTAATTTCCAAAGCAGTGTAAGAGAGGGAAAAAATTAATTCCCATTCAACAGGAGAGCCTCAGCTAAGTGTGCAGTTGAAGCTTTATCCCTCTGGTTTCACAAGCTGCTAATGAGCCTCTTTAGAAGAGTTTCTACCCTCTGTTCTGCAAGAGAATGCAACACACTGACAGCTGGAGGTTTGGTGCTGAACATGGTGTCATATGAAGTCAGAGTGAGGAAGGAGAAAAGAGGATGGGGAAACAAGTGAGGAAGCCCTAGCCTTCAGAAACCACAGAGCCAGACAAGGTTGATTTGTATAAAGTAAGCAGTGAGGCAAAATAAACAAAGATGATAAGGAGACATCTACTGAGCAAGCTTTTGCTGAACTGCATTATAAAGACCTCACTCTAAACCTCGATATCTCTAGTCCCCACTTCCCTATAGCCAGAACTTCCCTCTACCTGCAGGCAGCCCTGTCTTTGGAAAACATAACCACTCCATGATTGTGGTGTCCCAGCTCATCAATGTGACCACAGTGGAGCTCTGGGGAGCTCTTGAGAGTCTGTGCTTTAGAAGAACGGCTCTTGAAGACAGAGGCTGGGGAAGGACCAGGACAGCAGAACCAGAATAGTGTTTGTGAAACAGCCCCCAAACACAGGGAGAGTCAGGAATGTCACAGGGCTTGTGTCCAACTCACCTGCTCTGGTGTGGGTGTGATGGGTGCGTCACTGGATGAGCCTCTTCCAGTGGGCAAGGTGACAGGGTGGAGGATGGACTCTATCTGCTGAGGGGAGTTGACTGCAGGTGAGTTCTGTCCGGATTGGGAGTCAGTGCTATACACAGTCTACAGACAGAGGTGGGAAAAGTGACAGAGAACATGTTAGACACTCACACCTGACATTAGAGGAGAAATGTTGATGGCATCTGCTTTCAACAGTTCTTGGCTGTCCTGGAGATTCTCACTCTCCAAAAGCCCTCTAAATGCAAGACAGAGTCCTTAAAGTCCCCTCATAGCTCCAGAATGGCAGCTGCCCAACATTCAGCAATGCTTCCATACCCTCTGTGGTGTGTGGATGGGTGACAGCATGTCCAGATCAGTCATGGGGAACTCTAGGCCCTTCCGTCTCAGGTCTTCATAGACAGCAACAACACCAGTCAAGTCTGGTGAGCTACGGAAGGCATCTGCCCAGGACTGGGGAGAAGGAGACAGCACAGCCCATCATCAATACAATACTCTTCTGTACAAAAACCTAAAGACAAACACTCTCTGAACTGGTGCAGATGCTCACAGTTCTTGGCTCACCTGTATGAGGGTCAGCACCTTGTCGTGCACTATGGCAGGTGGGTTGTTCTTCGGCAGGATTGTTCTCACCAGGACACCTTCTACAAAATCCTGGCTGGACACAAGGACATGGAAGCGATGGCCGCAGTTTTTGACACATGTCTCCAGGACCTTCAAAGGCAATGAAGCAGTTGCTATAGCCTTCTCTGCCTACATGTGTTTATTTGCCTTGTTGGCTTTAGGTACACGTGTCTTTTCAGTACATGTGCTAAAGCTCGTGTTCAGCACTCAGCTTTACAGCAGAGCTGAGAAAGAGCCCTGACCACTCACCGTCAAAGCCAGCATAACTTCATGGAAGTTCTTGTTCCCTACAATTCTCTTCTTAATGGCTCGGAAGGCATCTTTGGGCCTGAGGGAGAAATGAGATGAAGAAAGATCATCAGAAGGTTGAGCCCCACCTACAGCAAGGCAAAGNTAACTTGCTACTGCCCAACTGCAGAACAAGGCACCCCAGTGGATGCAGGAGCACAGGTCTTTGAGGGCTGGAGACAGCCATTTGCCTGTGGGCTCTACTGCTTGGTAGCTGATGGAGAGCAGGGAATGACTGACAGGAAAGCAGTGTGAGATCAGCTAGTCTCTCCAACCCAAGGGATCTGGTCAGCACAGCCATTGTCAGCTCCTCCAGAACAAGGATTCAGGAATCCATTTTGCAGTGGAGAAGACCACTTCAGCCAGTACTGTGGAGACCCAGCTCTTAGTGCTTTACACCAGGAGGTCTCAAACATACTATGGTGGAAGAAACATCAGTCACACTTGCCAACAGGGAAGCTGAGGCACAGAGCAGTGCCCTGCCCTGCCACAACTGACCACATTCTTCCTGCACTCCAGTTCAATACTCTGCCTGTTGGGCTGCATTGGTATTTAGCAATTCCCAAATTCAACATCACCCCAGTCAGGGCACATGAGTTTGGAGACAGACATGAAAACTCAGCCAGTCCCACTCCACACCTTCATCTCCAGACACTGAATCTCCTGAGAACATGTGGAACCACAGTGCTCATATATAGGGACCGCTTCCTTCTCTCCATACCCAGGAGGATACTGTGAAGGAGAGATGATGGTAGCAGAAAAAAGGACTGGGAGCACAGAGCTCATCCTACAAACACTGTGCATCCAAAGAATGCATTTCTGTTGCATCCTACTGTCTCCCAGGAACTGCTGTTGGTTGGGGTCATGGCCCCAGTTGCCTTGAGTCCTCCTTGCTTTACAAGAAGGCAGGACAGGACAGAGTGGGCTGCTGCACTCACCCTCGGCGCTGCTCAGCCAGCGAGCTGCCACGGGTCAGGGCAAACATGTCAAAGTCTTCTTCCAGCTTGCCAGAGGTGTCGAGGGAGTGCAGCCCCGCACTTACGCTGCTCGAGCCCAGGTCTGTGGGAGAAAGAAAGGGTGAACAGGCAGCTCAGAGCAGTAAATGAAGGGCTGTGGGCTTGGAGAGTGCTAGATGGAAAGCTATCATCAGAACAGGCTAAACTGTTCTAGGCCCACTCCTCTATCCTGCCCCTCAGCTACAGCACAGGCTACGTGTGCATGTAGTGTTGTGAGTGAAGTAAAAGCAGCAGTTTCTTTGCCTGCTCAGTAGACATTTTTGTCTCAGTCTCAGGCAGAAGCATCATCATCAATTTACTGAACTGATGCTGAAGGCTAGATGTTCCCGATCATTTTAGACAGCTTGGGAGGGAATTGCTCCATAACCTGTGGAAGACCTGTGCTTCTGGGCAAGCACCTCTGAGACAGATGAGTGGATTTTCATGATTCAGGCATCATCTGAAAAAAACCTGACTTGAAAAATATCTCAACTGGCTTGTCTATAAAAACGGTGTTGCCAATTTTCGGTAGCTGCATCCAAGCTGTATTGAATGTGCTCCCAGGCAATGAGAGCTTCAGGCAGTGTTATGTAGGCTGTTGGTATATCTTGAAGAACCCTCAGGACCTCTAAGGCTTTTTGAGTAAACAATCTGTCAAATCCTGAGTCCTGAGCCCAAGATGCTCATGGCTGCCTTCACAGCATAGTTTCAGCTGATTTTCTTCTTCTAGACCTTAGAGGTCAGCCTGACACCACACAGCATGAGAGGCAACTAGGCAATGCTGCCAGGCATGCAGAAGGGACAATTTCATTCCCTACCCTGCTGGAAGGCCTAGTCCTTAGCCACAGACTAAGTCCTTCTTAAGTCATACCTACCTCCTGCACAATGTGAGGTGTGGGTGCCAAGACATATGCTTGAGTGCCTTGGGGCATATACAAGTTTCTTCATGGGTTTATTAGTTGAAAACATACACCATTTCCCTAGGTTACTCTGTGAATATGATTATATAATTCTGTGAGATGATTCAAGGGCAGGAAGGGATTCCCAGTGCAGCACAGGAGAAAGACTGAGGGGAAAAGTGCATGGAAACATACTCATTCCAGCCAGCTGAGAGGAAAGGTTGTTGGTGACTTCAGCCTGTTTTAATGCAGAAGGAGTACTGGGTCCCAGATCAATCAGGCTGTTCTCTGTCTCATTTGGTGCCTTTGAAGGAAGAAAAAAGAAAATGGTGGAGAGTTTCTGAAGCTTGGACACCCTGGCCCTACAATCCTAGCTCATTAATACTGGAGAGGAAAGCCCTTCTATACCCATTGAAAGATGCCAGTTGTGAAACCTTTGCTTGTGAGAAGGGGGACAGTGATCAGAGAACTGGCTGGGAATAGTGTCCCAGGGCTGGCCTCAGTAGCCAGCCTCCCAGCTCTGCTGGATGTCAGTAAGTAGGGTAGATGCTGGTTCAGAGGACAGGGCAGTGCTCAGAGAAGGCTCATATAGGAATTGGTCCTCCCAAAACTCAGTACTGGAAAACCACAACTGCTGTTGCTCTGCTCTTGGTCTTTGGGTGAGAGGAAGACTCCCATGGGCAGGGAGGGCGAGGCTAGCAGTGGGAACCAGAGTGTCCTGCACCACCAGGGGTTCTGGTGCAGCTTGGCTGGGAGAGCAAAGCCTACCACTTCTGGGGGGGCAGACTGAACCTCTCTCCAATTCAGCAGGACCTGGCTGGACCTGTGGGATGCAGTCCGAGCTGCACAGAGGGGAAGTTGCTCTGAGTTACCTTGACAGGCTGTCCTGTCCGGAGGCGCTCAAACCTGCAAGAAAAATGACAGGATGCATTTCAATAGCATGTGCTTATTCACCCACAGATTTCTTATAAGGCTTGGCACAGCCTGTCCCTTCCTACATAATAGGAAGAGGGCAACATGGTTCAGGGCCTAATTTCCTCTCAAGACTGAAGACCCACACAGTTGACGTCTTCTGAGAGAGAAAGCTCCTTGTGATCTTCCAGAGCTACTTCTAAGCAAAATGCTTTAAACATAGCTCTCCATACAGACACAGGGCCTAAATTCCCTAGACTTCATCCTAGCAAAGAGATGTGTTTGATAAAATGGTAGGGAAAAAAACGGGGTGCTGATCCCACCTGGGCAATTTCTGTCCCCATCTGCCTCAGAGCCAGAAAACCAGCTCTTTCCATGCAGTTCCTTCTTCTTCTTCTGGGTTATGCCACCAGGGCATCTTTATATCCCATGAGTAACTTACACAGCAGTCTTGAAGGTACAGGAATTAGTCAGCAAAAACTGAACTGGCTTTGTTCTCAAAGAGGGAAGATACAGACTGATACATCTTCAGTATTATACTTGTGGGCAGATCAAAAGGGTGGGATAGGCAGCCTTCAAGGGGCAGTAAACTCTTGTGGGAGAGCAGGGCAGAGAAGGGAGGAGAGAGGTACCTTTCATGTCGCAGAAACACGTTATTGAGGTTGTCATTGATGAGAAGCAGCTCCTCAGTGAGTTGCTCATGGAGGACACGGGGAATCAGCTCCAGTACACGCTGCTGCATGGCTCTGCATGTCCGATTCAGCTCCTGTTCAAAGCAAGGGCAAGTTACCACACAGCTCACGCTAAGGCTGAGCACTCACAGATTTGGGAGTCTGACTGGAATAGACAGACTCCAGAGGCTACTGGGATCTATCAGGAACTGTTTGTTGATGGGCAACAAATATTGGTGTGAGAGGTAAATTGAGTCTGGGCTCTACATGGAATAATTGTATGCTTTTTATATAACACATTGCCCAGAAAAAAAGGCCCTCAGGGACAAGTCCCCATGTGAGATGATTCCAGTCTCAGTAGTGCTATTTCCCTCCACCTACCCTGTGTCTCCCTTATCCCATTACTCCCTGATAAGCCCCACATTAAATTGTCCAGTTGTTCCCCATGCCTGGCAGGCATCATGCCTCAGTCCATCAAGTCATTGCTAAATTTTGCTGCATGTGCCAGCCCTCCCCCCTGCCAGCGTTCCTTACTTGCAGCAGCTCCAGGTCAGAAGGCTCAGCCTGGGATGGCACCAGCTCCGTCAGCATCTCTGACATGACCTTTGTGTTCCCATTCACCACTTCCAGCTCACTGCGCAGCTTCCCGATCTGCAAAAGGAAGTGAAGTGACAGCTCCACCTGGGAAGACTGGGGAGGTAGCTGAGGTAACTCTGAATGGCAGTAAATAGCACCATGTTTGTACGTGTGTTCACAGAGCCGAAGGGAACAGCCACTGGAGAATTCACCACTGTCGCCACTCAGTTAAGCTCTCGGGAGCTCCCAGCAGAAAGACTCTCCATTACTTACCATTGAGTTCATTTGCTGGTAACAGATGCCAGGCCTTCACCTGGGACCTTTGGCTACTAGCCCAGCCTTGACTTTTAGTAGCCAGCACAGGCTGCTGTTGTGATTCAAATCTCTCTACAGCTAGCAGCTCCTGTGTGACAGCCACTTAAATGGTTTAATTTCCAAAGCAGTGTAAGAGAGGGAAAAAATTAATTCCCATTCAACAGGAGAGCCTCAGCTAAGTGTGCAGTTGAAGCTTTATCCCTCTGGTTTCACAAGCTGCTAATGAGCCTCTTTAGAAGAGTTTCTACCCTCTGTTCTGCAAGAGAATGCAACACACTGACAGCTGGAGGTTTGGTGCTGAACATGGTGTCATATGAAGTCAGAGTGAGGAAGGAGAAAAGAGGATGGGGAAACAAGTGAGGAAGCCCTAGCCTTCAGAAACCACAGAGCCAGACAAGGTTGATTTGTATAAAGTAAGCAGTGAGGCAAAATAAACAAAGATGATAAGGAGACATCTACTGAGCAAGCTTTTGCTGAACTGCATTATAAAGACCTCACTCTAAACCTCGATATCTCTAGTCCCCACTTCCCTATAGCCAGAACTTCCCTCTACCTGCAGGCAGCCCTGTCTTTGGAAAACATAACCACTCCATGATTGTGGTGTCCCAGCTCATCAATGTGACCACAGTGGAGCTCTGGGGAGCTCTTGAGAGTCTGTGCTTTAGAAGAACGGCTCTTGAAGACAGAGGCTGGGGAAGGACCAGGACAGCAGAACCAGAATAGTGTTTGTGAAACAGCCCCCAAACACAGGGAGAGTCAGGAATGTCACAGGGCTTGTGTCCAACTCACCTGCTCTGGTGTGGGTGTGATGGGTGCGTCACTGGATGAGCCTCTTCCAGTGGGCAAGGTGACAGGGTGGAGGATGGACTCTATCTGCTGAGGGGAGTTGACTGCAGGTGAGTTCTGTCCGGATTGGGAGTCAGTGCTATACACAGTCTACAGACAGAGGTGGGAAAAGTGACAGAGAACATGTTAGACACTCACACCTGACATTAGAGGAGAAATGTTGATGGCATCTGCTTTCAACAGTTCTTGGCTGTCCTGGAGATTCTCACTCTCCAAAAGCCCTCTAAATGCAAGACAGAGTCCTTAAAGTCCCCTCATAGCTCCAGAATGGCAGCTGCCCAACATTCAGCAATGCTTCCATACCCTCTGTGGTGTGTGGATGGGTGACAGCATGTCCAGATCAGTCATGGGGAACTCTAGGCCCTTCCGTCTCAGGTCTTCATAGACAGCAACAACACCAGTCAAGTCTGGTGAGCTACGGAAGGCATCTGCCCAGGACTGGGGAGAAGGAGACAGCACAGCCCATCATCAATACAATACTCTTCTGTACAAAAACCTAAAGACAAACACTCTCTGAACTGGTGCAGATGCTCACAGTTCTTGGCTCACCTGTATGAGGGTCAGCACCTTGTCGTGCACTATGGCAGGTGGGTTGTTCTTCGGCAGGATTGTTCTCACCAGGACACCTTCTACAAAATCCTGGCTGGACACAAGGACATGGAAGCGATGGCCGCAGTTTTTGACACATGTCTCCAGGACCTTCAAAGGCAATGAAGCAGTTGCTATAGCCTTCTCTGCCTACATGTGTTTATTTGCCTTGTTGGCTTTAGGTACACGTGTCTTTTCAGTACATGTGCTAAAGCTCGTGTTCAGCACTCAGCTTTACAGCAGAGCTGAGAAAGAGCCCTGACCACTCACCGTCAAAGCCAGCATAACTTCATGGAAGTTCTTGTTCCCTACAATTCTCTTCTTAATGGCTCGGAAGGCATCTTTGGGCCTGAGGGAGAAATGAGATGAAGAAAGATCATCAGAAGGTTGAGCCCCACCTACAGCAAGGCAAAGAAAAACAGCCAGTGGCCCTGGATGCCTCATACTATGCAGGTGTCCTTCCCCATCAGGTTTTCAGGGTGGCTTGAAGCAATGACTGGTAAAGCAGCTTCTGCCTGTGGTTCTGCAAGAGTAGTGGGGCCCTGCTAATCATGAAATCATTTAGGTTGGAAAAGACCTTTTAAGATCATCGAGTCCAACAGCAAACCTAACATTGCCAAGTCCATCACTAAACCATGTCCCTGAGTGCTGTTCCTGAAATTGGAGGCCTCTGTGCTGATGTCTGCAACAACTCAAGGTGCTCAGGACACAACAGAGAACAGAGTAAAGGCAATGCTAGAAACACACAGCTTGGGGATAGAGCAAAATTCCATGGCAGAGAGACTGAAAAGGAGAATGTCACCGAAAAGCTTGGCATGGGTTAGAAACAGGAAGGAGCGAGCAAGCTACAGCAATTCCTCTGTTGCTCAGAGAGAAGCTGTTTAACAACATTTCCCTGGAGAAAAGGAGAGTAAAAAGCTGCAGGGGAGATTCAGTGGCAAAATCTTGCCTATATTGCAGGTGGGAAAGAGAGCAGCAGCACAGTAGGGCCCCCTTAACCATTCTCAGAGGGGAGAAACACCATGGTCTCAGACCACTCGTCTTGAGCGGGCACAAATGAGTCAACATGCTCTAGTAGAGCACAGGAAGTGAGGCTGAGCTGGAAGAGCAGCACTGCTAGGGGAGAAGAGTGGCGGGGAGACACTGAGGCAGTGAGGAGGGAAGGAGTGTATTGGCCCATGGGGCAGCATGGTGTCAATGGATGGGCATTAGCAGGGCAGTGGGAGAGCCTGTCATCCCAGAAGGATGCAGCTGTGTTATCAGGTGCCAAGACCTTAAAAAAAGTGGCCACAGATCAGGACTGAGAACTGTGGACAGAGACAGGTGTATTTGCACCATGGGAATAGCATGAAAAAGAAGTGGTGACAGATCTGTGAGTAGAGATGTTTGACTTTGTTTTCATACAACTGTGAAGCTGAAAACTGGGCTTGCTAATCCTCTGTCAACATCACTGTGGGGTAGGACAGCAGGAGTGAAACCTACATGTTTTATTCCATGTAGCACCTTCTTTTTTACATGCTGCTCTTGACATCTCCACTGTGAGAAGGAGCAGTCTCCCTTGAATTCATTGCCAAATCCCCAGGTCCAGAGTTAACAAGTCTGGCAGATTTATGAACATCTCCCTGCAGGGAGAGGGAGACAAGGGCTCCCCCACCCACTTTGTGTGAGTCTGAGTGACTGTACATGAAAATACCTGAGCAGCAAACCCCAGCAGGACTTGCACAGTGAGAGGACTGAATAGCAGCTCTCTCCTCAGTCACCAGCCTGCAGATTTTTGCATTCCCAGAGGAAAGAAAGAGAGCGGTATGAAGAAGGAATAAACCAAAGTGGAAGAATTACAAATATGCCTTTGGGACATGGGAGACAGCCTGGATTGAATCAAGGTTCTCTGGGGACCCTGAAGGCCTGTTTGAATGGCTCCCAGCACTCCCTAAGATTATACAGAAGCATCTAACAAGTGCTGTGGCAGATTGGCTGTGTCTCTAGGCCTCCTAGCAGAGTCTTGTCTAAGGGACTGTTGGGAAGCCTAGCTTATTATCTCCACCGATGTATGCTACCACTGCAGCCTAGGCATGTAGTGTTACAGGGTGTGCTGGGACCGGCTGCTGGATATGGACCCTTGCCAGCTCTCCTTACCCTTCTTCAGTCTCGTTAATGATGTCACAGATCTCCATGTTGAGAGCCCAGTCCTCGCTCCGTAGGGACCCATCGGTAGCTCTCTCTGGAAAACAGAAACCAGAACAGGGTAGGGCTAAGAGCGCTCTGGCACTCTCACAGGCTGCTGTTAAGCTCTCACCGCAGATCCCAGCCTCTTCTTCGCTGGATTCCACTACAATATGCGAGGAGGCAAACCCAGCTGCAAATTCCGAGTCACCAAGTGCTGCCCACTAGATGTCAGCACCGCAGAGCACATGGCTGGCTGGTGCTGGAATGGGTGGGTGCACCCGTGCCACCCATGCTACCGACACGCACATTGTGTGATCACTGGAGAGAAGGGAAGAGGCTCAGCATGACTTCAGCTCCACAGCTGGGGAAAAGGGGGCTTATTTGCTTTGTTACTGCAAGGCCAGAAACTGTCAGTTTGGTTCATTCGCACTGTCATGGCTCTAAAGTCACTCTTGGTTTGTACCACTTAAGGAGACAAAAGAATCAACCCCCCCTTTTTTTTTGTACACCAGGCCTATAAAAAAAATAAGCAAACATAAACAACCAAAGCAGGGCTCTCTCTTGTTTAACATTTACACCTCTCCCCTGAACTTCTGGCCTCTGGGGAGTGTGGGCAGAAGCAAACTGCAGGCTGAAGTCAAAGCAATATTGTTTCAGCTTTGATTGTGTTCCCTTTAATTAGGAATTCCTTAGTCAGCCTTGATGTTATTTATTCAAGGCAGAGATTTGGGAAATGAGCAGCTATTACTGAGAGCACCAGTGTTTCCACCCTGTAATCAGCCATGTCTCCATCCTGGCCACGCCACTGACTGATGCCTTCAGGGACACCACCAGCGGCTGGGGGAAAGAGAACTGCCAGCGGGGCCGGCAGGACCCAGGCACTCTCAAGACCACAGGGAAACACAGAGACGCAGCAAATGGCAAGCAGAGGGCAAGAACCATCCTTCCCAGCTCTCCCATCCTACAAAACACTTGACTTAGAGAACTAAAACTGGCCAGACTGGTTTAGCACTTACCAAGTGCTCTTCAAGAGAGCTCAGACCCAACAGAAGTGCTTGCATTTTCAAAACTGCTGTCCCTGCAAAATCTGGGGCTGTCCCTTGCTGCTGTGGGTCCTCTATCCCTTTGGAGAGCCCTTTTCTCTGCAGAGCTGCCTTTTTCTCCTTTTGACCCAGAAGCTAATGATCCCTGTGCAGGAATGAAATTAAATGCCCATTCACACAGTAATGGGATAAGGCCATCACACAGGAAGACTTTTTAACTCCTGCTTGGGTAAGCACATCCATCATGTTTTGCGATGTCCTGTTTCTTAAGGGTCAGGCTCAGAGCTATTCACAGCACTGTGCAAGGCAGCCTCTTATACACGTGAACCTCCCACAGATTGCACACCACAGTGTGAAGTTATCTGCACATTATCACTATGCAGCCACCACCTTTTCTGTTGGCTGCAGAATGTATTGATTACACTGTGATTATGCTGATTACATTGTGGCCGTAGCCAGATGGAAAAGGGCAGACAAGGGAAGGAGAGTGGCAGAATGTTCTTGATGTTCTTCCACCTTTCTGAAGGTCTGGCTACTACTGTAATATCCATAAGGCTCCTTGATTCAGGTGATCTTTTGTCACTTTGAGTACTAATTTTACATAGGAATCCTGATCTCTGGCAGATCCAAGCTTCCTCAGTGAGGCATAGGAGGTAGCATCACATTGGGTGATTTGGTAGAGAATATATCCAGGGCAATGGGCATGTCTGGTGCACCAGGGCATATACCAATCAATAGGTGAAGCTGTGGTAACATGTGGGAGAAAATGTTTTCCATTGGGGCATCTTTGGGATCAGGACTCAGTAATATCAGAGCTCCAGGTTTCCTCCTGCCCTGGGACACCACACAGCCAGCCTTGCCGGCAGGCAGATTCCAGCTCAGGTCAGTCTGATGGTTTTGGCACACATGGTCACAAAGCCACCCTTCACTTGTGCTCTCCTCTGGCGTTCCCTGCTCGCAACACACCGTGGTTTGAACAAGCCAGAAGTTTCTCTGTACTGTTTGCTGCTGCTGGCAATGAATCACACAAAGCCATCATATAGGGGTTGCTCTGCTGAAAGGGAAGTCTACATCCTCTCTTCTCACAGTCTTCTCACTGCACATGGAAGGAAAGACCCACAACTCACGAACAGGGCTGAGCCTGCTTGGAAGCTCTGAGCTACAGAAGAAACCAAGGACAAAATAAAAACTGCCTTTAACCATCAAGTCCTTGCTGTTCAAATCTCCCCAGCCCTCCTCATTCTCACTGGCATTGTACATAAACATGAACTGAATCTGCAAACAGCTTTCCCTTGCTTCCCAATGTTTGGTGGCACTCTGTAACCTGCTCCCCACCACTCCTTTTCCTCTAAACACACCAATCCTGCCAAGGTCAAGCAGCAGGTTTGCTTTTCAGACACGAATGCAAATAAACCATGCATGCTCTGGCCACTTATGACAAAACTTGGTTTCCTCAGAAGTGACACACACTGCCTTGCTGTTGGTTCACAATGCTGTGGTCATCCTGCTACCATCACCCTTGTTCATACAGTCATCAAGGAAGAGCTGCAGGAAAGCAGTAAACCTGTCATAAATGCAATTTGGCTTATAAAATAAAAAGCTGGAAGAGCAGTATTAGGGTATATGGAAAACAAGAATGTGACCCTGAGGCAATTCCATGGACAAAGTACTTGAATTCACCCAGTACAGATTAAGGCCTGGCCTATCTGGCCTTGGGAGAGCTGGAGCTAATGCCCTTTTAATCCTTCTTGCTCTCTTCCAAGCTCTAAGGGACTGCCCGAGCCTAATAAGATATGCTGGGGTTTTCTCTGAAATCCTGAACTTTATCCTTTTTCTAAAGCCTGCAGAAGGGAAAGAAACAAAGTCTAATTCATTAGTCACATGAAGGATCAGAGTGGCTGGCCCCATTTCATGAGCTGTAATTAGCACATGAGCTCCTCTGCCCCTCATGAAATCTGAGACCTGGATGGCTGAGGGCAGAGACAAGTCCCTAAAAACAGGGAGCACAGGAGGCAGGCCGCAAGCACATGCCCAGCACTTTGCTTGGTGGGACTCATCAGGTAGCATCTCCTTCTGTGTGCTAACAGCTGAGCCTGACCTGCAGCGGAGAATTCCCCCTGGCAGAGATTATCTATGAATGCCGTCTCCCTCCAAGCCCCAAACCAACTGGCTGTTGAATGTACAGGAGGCCCCTTCACGGGGCTGCTTCAAAGCCACATTGTTTTGGCAGCCAGTCCAGTTCCCTGGGTGTGACAGCATTAGGGTTTGTCTGATTCCAGTCTGCTGCCTCACAAATTACTCAGAATGACCCAGCACCACTGAGGACTGTGGTACGGGTTGAGCCAGAGCATCAACTCTTTTCCTGCCTGGCATTTGATGTGCTCCTACTGATTGCAACTGGGTTATAAAAGTTATTTGGAATCATCAGATAAAAAAGAACTCTGAGCTAAATATAACTGACCAACAGAGCTGCACCTTGCTTTGTGCCATGAGTAAATTTCACAACTTTGTTTCTTTTCAAGTTTATTGTCTCTGCCTTCATGCATGGCAGGGGAGAGCCCATTGTTAAGTCTGGCAATCCCACCCAACCGTCCCTGCAGCAGCATACCATCACTGCAGTCCCTAGTGTGGGGAAGTACAGGAGCCAGGGACAGAAGATTCTGCGTGGGTTCCTGTCCCCTTTGCTCCCCATCCCATATCTGAAGCACCCATAACCAGACAGGCGCCGTTCAGAAACCCTTTCCCTGTGATATGCTTTGCCATAGCAGGTCAGAAACTGTGTGCCTCTCCAAGTCAAGCTCTTAAATAGTGCTCCCTACAGTCATCAGTCTTGCTGGCTTTAAGTTCCTCAGCAAAGCATCAAGCACCTTCTCACCCATTTCAACAGGCATTTGAGGGCACCAACATTCCATTGCACAAGACAGCATAGGTTCAACATAAAGGAACACAACAGTCCTTTCTCCCAACCTCCCTTCGGTTCATAAAGCCCCTGGCCCAAATCAGCACCCTGTACAAAGTGTCCTTGCTAAGCCTCATGCTTTCACTTCCCTTGAGGGAACTTCAGCTCTGTCAGGACTCCACCATTTAGCTGTATCACCCCTCCAAAGACCGAGGGGACAAAATGCTTTCTAGAGAGAACAGAGATACGGCTCCAAACCTAACTCCAGGACAGTGATGGACACAGACTATGCTGACATAGTGCTGTGGGTTTTTGGGGCTCTGAACTCCTGCTCCTTTCCTGCGAATCAGTTCAAACTCTCAGGGATCAACTGACTCTTCAACTGCTGCCTTTTCCCCTTCTCCACACAGAGGGGGCACAGAAGACAAGGTAAAGCTTTTTTGAGAAGCACAGCCTCGCAGGGACCCACCTGGCTCCAACAGGAGACTGTTACTGACAACAGCTCCCAAGGTCCCAACTCACAGAGGGGTGCAGGGACACCTGCAAGGTGGGATCCAAATGGCTGTGGAGATTTTTCTAGCATATTGTGTTGTATCTGCCCTTCTTCCTCACCCATGAACCTCTCTTACTTGCTCCCTCTTTACACTCTCAACTTTTACTGCTGCTGCTACACCGTTACTCCTCTCCCTTGCCTGCCCTCATGCACTGAAATAACCTGTCTCTGTCCCTTTCAGTATTGCTATAATTACTAGTTATTTCAGACTTCGAGGGTGAGGAGAGAGCATTGATGGTTTCCTCTCCATTCTCTCACTCAGAGGGAATTCACCTGCTTGAAATTCGATTTTCCATTCTGAAAGTGGAAAAAAGCTTCTCTTAGCTCTTAGATGGAGGTGCAGTGGATTTCCCTTTTGAGGGGGGATTCCAAACTACAATGCTTCATCACTCTGGAAAATTTCCCACTGGTCAGAAGTACTGTGTTTAAAAACCCACTCATAAAACAAAAAATGAAAAAACAAACAAGCAAGTCTGTATTCCTCTTAGTTGGGAAGAGACATCACAAACAAAAACAGGACAGAGGCAACTTTTGTGACTAAATCTCAGAACTGTGAGTAAGAAACTAGAAAACCTACTCCTCTGCAACTGACTCATTCTGTGACACATCACTGAGATTATCTCAGCATTGGATTCCTAGTCAGCAAAATAAATAGGTCTTACTAGATTAACATTAATGAAGGAATTTGAGAACGTCGCTGCAGTGTGCCACAGAGGATTTTTTTATATTCCTTAGCCTTCATCTAAAGCTATTTTAGACCTCATAAGCTATATCAAGCGTACATGACTTTGCCTAAGTAATTTACAAGGACGCAGCATTAGCTTTTTGCAGACAGCCCAAAGCAGCAGCACTATGCAGGTTTGGTGATCAGGCTTATGGGTTGGACACGAAGCTGCCACGGACCTACCAAACAAGTTTGGGTAAGTCATGTTCGCGTCTCAAATTAAACAGGGCAGATAGCATTTATCCATGTCCCCAGGATGTTGATAGGCAATGTTCAAAAGGAGAAAACATTCATATTTTCAGCCACCAGCCCTTTCAAGTCCTTCAGCCTGATTTCCTTACACATATGCTGTAATTCCTCCAACCCTTTGGACTCAGATAACCCCAAGCCCCAGCAACTAAGATCTCCCTACTATCGTACCTCTGCTACTAAGGATTCTCAACTCTTCTTTGACAACACTCTTGAAATACCTTTTTTCCCTCTTATTGGCTGTTGGTTTGTTGCTTGGGAATCCCTTCTTTAATTGAAGCAAAGCCCAGAGGGACCCCACTTACAAGCTGGTTACTATACTGACAAGAAGATCTGGAGGGCAACAAGGGATCTGTGACATCTTCAGATTGCCTCTACCCAAGCAAAAGGACATATTTGATACAGTCACTGAGAGAACAAAGAGCATTTATTTGGGAAAGGGCAGGAGACAGCTTTTCCTGGAATGTATGATGGAACATGTGACATTCTTCTGGGGAGATGCTGAAGATCTTCTGGAGGTTTTTGATAACAGAATGATCCCTGATGATCCTTCCCCCATCTTGCTGTAGTGCATCTCACATATGTGTCCCAATACCAGAGCGGCACATCGCAGTGCCGCCAACCCACTTTTGGACATGGCTTAGGGCAGCCTCTAAAATAAGCAGTGCCTACAAAAGCATTACTTAGAGCAGCTGCTTGCTCCCTTCCTGCCCCAGCCACAACAGCCCATTCACTCATGTGAGCTCACCAAAAACAACTGAACCCAGGACCAGATGTTCACAGTGAAGAGCAAAGGTCTGAAGGGTGACAAACAGCAAGAATGGAAGTGCATAAACTGACAAATGGAGAGTTTAGTTGGGCATCAATGTTCAAGTGCAAATTGAAGGCCCTTAGGCAATACAGCATGGGAGGAATGGGAGGAATAATTCATTCTAATTATTTTAAGAACTGCTCAAAGAACTGATTTTAAGAATCTCTGTTCCAATGCCAGTGCAGCTGTTGATGGTCTTGTTCTAACTGTGGCATCGCTGCTCCGCTTTCTCAGACCACATCCTTCTCCCACGTTCCCTGAGCTGCCCTGAGTGCAGGGACTGCGGGAGACCAGAGAGGTCACAGCGTGGGTGCCGTGTTAATTGCCATAGTTGGTGCTCAGTGCCCTGAGCCGGCCCGTGCCGCAGGGAGCTGCTCTCCACAGCCATGACGCTTGTCCCACAGCTCAGCACGGGGAGGCTCAGGGCAGCTGCCCTGGGTGTCCAGCGTGCATGACCTTCGAGTAAAGGACGCTGGTCCAAGTGGGTGAGCCACACGTCACAGGGACAGCCCAACCTGGAGCTGCTGTCCCTGCAGCCCCCACTGTCCCCTCTGTCCCCAGTGTCCCCTCTGTCCTCACTGTCCCCTCTGTCCCCTCAGCCCCCGAGGGCGCCCCTCGCGCCACCGCGTGTCACGTGCCCCTTCCCGCCCGGCCGCGATAGGCCGCCGCAGCTGGAGCCCAGCCAATCAGCGGTTCCCACTGTACCCCCGGCGTGGCCCCGCCCCTGCTGCGAAGCCCCCGAAGAGGCGCGGGCGGGAATGGCCTCGAGCCAATCACGGGCCTTGGCGGCCTCGGGGGGCGTGGTCCGGACCCCCGGCTCGCGGCCCCTTTAAGCGAGCAAACTTCACCCCGAGACCCCCTTGCGCCCGGATTGGCTGGCGGGGCCCCCGGCGGAGCCGCCTCGGGCTGTGCGCTCGCTATTGGCCGGCAGTGCCCGTCAGTCAGAGAGGAGGTCTGCTCTGATTGGTCAGTGGCTGCTCGGTCCCGCCGCGGGGGCGGGGCCCGGCGCTTCCCCGAGGAAGGGTCGGTCGGGCGCCCCCGGGGCGGCGGGGGCGGGCGGGGACGCGGAGCCGCGCGGGGGCTCGGGGGGCGCGGGCGCGAGTCTCACCGATGCGCTGCCCCACGGGGGAGCTGAAGGGGTTCCCCAGCAGAAAGTCCATCGCCGCCGCCGCCGCGCCGCGATCAGCTGACGCCGCCGCCGCCGCCGCTCACGTGACCCGCGCGCTGGCCGGGGCGGGCCCGCTGGGCCCCGCTGTGACGCCGCCGCCCGGGAGGGGCCCCGGACCGGCCCCGCCGAGCTACGGGCTGAGCGAGGCACGGAGCCACCGTGCGGAGGGGCGGCGGCTGCCGGGACAGGGGTCCTGCCGGCCCGTAGCCTCGACCCGCGGGAACCGAGGGGCTCCCGCCGCCGGCAGCCTCCGCCACTTTCTGCAGCCACACCGGGCTCGTGCAGAACAGCCAGAGCGGTGCCCGAGTCGTGGAACGCCTGTAGCGATGGGGTTTAAGTTTTCCACGGCCTGGTGTGGGAGCACACTCGTAGGAATTGGGAAGAAACTCTTTACTGTGAGGGTGGTGAGGCACTGGAACAGGTTGCTCAGGAAAGTGGTGGATGCCCCATCCCTGGAACTGTTCAAGGTTGGATGGGGCTTTGAGCAGCCTGGTTTAGTGGAAGGTGTCCCTGCCCATGGCAGGGTGCTGGAATGATGACCTTTAAGGTCCCTTGCAACTCAAACCATCCTGTGGCCCCATAGATGGTGGTTAGTAAGGCACAGTGTTCTGTGACCTGCTCCTGGCCTAATACCGCACCCTGCCCAAGCCGCGGCTGCAATCAACCAACACCCATACCCGGAAAATGAGGACATGTTAACAACCAGCACAAATCCTGCCTTAACGCTGCCACGCCTGACATCCCATGGAACACACTCAAGTCCCAGGTATTGGTCTCATCTGACACTACGAACCTGAATGGAGGTGAGGCAGCAGGGAAGAGGAATGCCCCAATGCTATCCGTGGTACTCAATGGCTTGTCTCCCTTCAGAAAGAAGGGCCAAATGGCCGGGGTCTTTCAGCGATGATTAGGGTGACCTGTGCTGCTGCAAACAGTACAGCTTGCCTGCAAACTGAGTGAGCTTAGCAAGGATAGGGTTGGATGTGCTTTGCTGGGAAACACCAGATACGAGTAGTAACAACAGCTGCAGAAAACTGTGCATGCCAGAAATGAACGACAATACTCCAAATGTTAAAAAAAATTATATTGTAAGTACAGTACAAAAAAAGTTTCTGTGTATAATCGTAATGTAATCGGGACCAAACAGCAAAGAAATAACAAAAATATAAAAACTGCTAAGTCTTGCCAAAGTTTTCCCTATAGTACCAAATACCACAAGATACAGATTATACAAAGTGTACAAATTTTAATAAAAATACAATACACCAGGGTTGTGTGTGTTTTTCACTCTTCAAGAGTTTTTCGTTGTACAGACAACAAAGCTAAAGCTATCCCCTTCTGTTTCTTCGAGAGCAGATCTATCCCTTCACCACAATGCTCTCAACTGTAAAGGGCTGGAAAAAAAGTTATTTTGTGCCGCTCCCAGCAGCAGATGGTTCTGTATGGGCTAGGATCCCTCCTGGGACCTTCCTAATTCTAGGCTCACTGGGATTTGTCATATGTTGCTAAAACGTGTGTTCTGGTCCAGTGGTCTGAGAACCTTTTGCCTCCTCCACTAACTGACTGACAAAACCTCTCACTGCGCTGAGAAAAACTCTGTAAGAGAGAGACTACCTTGTACACAGGCACATCTGGGGAATACATAGTGAAGAGGTATTGGGAGAAAAACCCTCCTGCACACCCAAGGATTTAATTTACTTCCGATTTGGGGCTCAGCCAGAATGAGGGACAGTTCACTTTCAACTATCCTGAAAAACAAAAGCTACACTTACTTGGATGTAAAAAATGGCTGTTCTGTAATTTTAAAACTTTCTTGTTACAGAGCTGGAAAGGTTTGAGTCAAACTATATTTCAGTTTTTCTACCTTCTTTCACAAGATGGCCTGTTTTTACAAACACTTAGAATCTTCCTGGTGTTTTCCCACATATAGCTGATTCCTGCAGGAACAGGTGAGGCAAAGTTGATTCCTATTTTCCACACACTGTTGGCTGAGGGAGGGATTTTTGCTTTTAAATTATGTATATATATATATACACACACACACAGAGAAATATACAGGATAAATTAAAATCTGTTACAGATATCGGTAAAAGTTAAATACATGTGATATGAACACCACATAAACATACAAGACAGACAAAAGTCTAAACAGGAATCAAGTCTTCTTCTGCATCTCCTCTTCTAGAGGAGCAGAAAACCAAACTCCAAGTATGTGGCGGGAAGGAAGAGGAACCGGTCCAATCAACCCACATGTGCCTTACTCAGCCGTAGCTGCTTCAAACTGGTCAGCAGTCACTGCCTTGCAGCAGCACCACAGCTCTTTCAATAGTGCTGGTGAAAGGGGTGGGGGGTGAGCAATCTCATAAAACAGATGCAAGATGGGCAGAAGCAATCCAAGTTTTTCCCATCTGCTTCTGCACTCCTCTCCATCAAAGTAGGCTGACCATGCCCTGGAAAAAGCCAGCAGGAGGTTCATTCTCTCAAGCAAATGCAGTTGGTTGATACATTGTGCTAATGATGATTTGGGTATGAGTCCACAAGAAAAAATTAAACTTGTTGACATCTACTTCACTTCAAATGCCAGCTACCAGACCAGCCAGCTGACACTGACAACTTTCAATTATTATTGACTGAGGAGCGAGGGTTGGAGGAAGTGACCAAGAGGCAAAGACCTCTGTATCTTTAATCAGCTATCCAGCTTTCCCCTCAAGCAGTGGATTTTAAACTGAAAAAGTTACAAATACGGCTGGTGAAGAATTCAGTTCTATTCCTTGGTCCAAAATATATTATCATCTCTATCTGCCCATAGAATATCAGAATACTTTAGGCTGGCAGGGGTATCAGGAGGTCATCTGGTCCATCTCCCTGCTTAAAGAAAGTTCAGCTAGAGGAAGCTGCTCATTCAATTTTTGAAACCATCAAGAATGGAGAGTCAAGAACCCCTCTGGGCCAACTGTTTCAATGACCTTTCTCATGGTGACAGCTTTCTTCTTTACATCGAGAAGTCCATTCTCTGCCTGCTTCCCCCACTAAAGGATCTGAAATTAAGGCAAGTATCTCAAAAGTGTTCTGAATTCTTCATACAAAGTACTTTCAGACTGGAGGACATTTCACCCACTGACATAAAAGGGCTTTCTCAGCTTAATTTCACAACTTTTCATAAAATAGAAGTCAAATAGTTACAATCCTATGTATATACTATACACATATAAAACTTTAAAAGCCTCCACATGGAGCCCTTCAGGAGCGTCGCATAGTGCATATGTACACAAATCAGTTGCGCAGAGGTTGAGTACATCCCAGGATCCTTTCCCATCAAAGTCCAGGCATGATGTAGGCAATGTTGTCTAGTGTGTTTGACTGGGAAAAGAAATTCAGTATTTTTTTAGTGTCAGGCAATAACTCCAAATCCTTAAAAATTACACAGATGAGGGTAATAAGCATATTCACTTGTCTTACAAGTTACCATATGATGGGACAACCAAATCTGCCTATCGATCACTAGGCTTATTTTCACATTTTTGGAAATGTAGGTTAACTAAACATAAAGGTAGCCTCAGTATTTTTAAGCGCCTGGAAACACTGAAAATGCTTGAGGCTTTCCCCAAGTGACTTCCTCCTTATGGACTCCATACTCTTATCTCTGCAAGCCACAGTAACCACATCACATCAACAATAGAAAAACCAGTGATGAAGGATTTGAGCAAGGTGATCAAAGTTGTAGCATATAGAAAAAAATTACTTGACTTTACACTCATAATTTCTCTATGAAATTCTGTAGTGTAAAAGTAAAGAGAAAAAGCCTTAAACGCACCCCAAAAAGGGTGTCAGATGGGAAAAAAAAGTGCTCTTCAGTTTTTCTTGCAAAACATAACAATTCTCAGAGTAAGAATCTTTCCATGCACCTCAGAAAAAAAAGTCCCCAGCTCTATGTTTCTTCAAGTGCAGTATTTCAGTAAGCTCAAGCCTGTGGCTGGATAGCCGAAGGCCTTAGAACACCACCTTTTAATTGGAGGAGCTAGAGCTGTACCAGTTGTGATTCTAGAAGTTAACAATGCCACCTACTGCCTGAAAGATAAAATGCATTCTACATGCAACACAACTGCTGAATTTTATCCATTTTTGTTATGAACCTGACAGTAAAAATCAGAATTATTTATTTATTATCAACTCCTGAACACCAGTTTTCAGAATTGAAGGGTAGGTGCTTTAATTCACCTAAAGCTCCACTGCTCCTTATAACAATAAGTTGATCACGTTTCCAATAGACCCACCATTAGTCACGTGGTGTCACTGCACTTGGCAAGCAAGAAGGAAAAAAGCATATGATTTTTCCATGGCTTAGGATGGGAACATCCCACTGATTCAGCTTTTGTGCAGAGAGCCAGTTTGTGGGAGCTCACAGCCTAAGCTGTCAACTTTGTTCCTGTTGTTAACAGTCTGCTCCCAGAATGAATCAATGTTTAGGCTGCCCTATTATGACCTGCCAATTCATAACCCATTTTTGTTGTTCTCTCTGCCAGATTTGTTTTTAGTCTCTCAAATTTTGCAGACTGTATGTTTTTGATCTTTGCTTCTATCCTTTGCTGCTTTATTCATGTCTCCTGTTGGGGATATGACTCCCGATTCCTTTATGCTGCTGCCATCTGAATCTGTCACATCAGGCTACATAGGTGCCACAAGCTGTTGCTAAATCAGGGCTCAATACTGTAATTTAAAGTGTAATTTAAAGTGGAAAAGAACTTGTAGCTATGCAGTTCCTTAAAACAGGGACTATTTTTCTTTCCTCAGAGAAGGTTTCAGCCACATGTAAAAGACCCTACACCATCACACGGGGAATACTGACATCACAAACTATTTTTTATGCTTCTAAAGGAAAAATAGCTTGTGTGATACAGAGCAGCTAGAAGGGGGGGTTTACATTTACAGAAAATCAAAACTTTGAAAAATACTGGTACGTGTACTGGCACTTTTATTTGATTCATACGGATTGACTCATCACTAAAACAGAACCTACCCACACTGCAATTAATGCTACAAATATTAGGTCAGTTGCCAGTGGTAGATAAAAAGTTACACAGTATCATACAATGGTAACATATAACCACAGGGAACTCACCAAAACGTGCCTCGGGCAGCCATTCAGCTCAGGCAGTTGTGTGGTCAGACATGCCAATGGGCCCAAAGCACAGATGATTGAATCTAGAAGTACTGACAAACTTCCTGAAACAGCCACCATTCCCTGGTAGTAAAGAAAAAAAAGTGGATGGGGATGAGTGGTGGAACTGATGGTTTTCTCAACTGTATCAATCCTCATGCAGATACAGTATCTTCAGCTCCTCTAGTCCACTTTCACTATTTACACAGTAACAAAACTGTGCCTTGTGCTTCACAGGGAGACTGCTGGGTCAAAAAATTTAAGAATTTAGTAGGCAACATACTGATGCAAGAAAAAGGTAGGGAACAAAAGAAAAGGTCAGAAGGTTGTGAGTTGCATAAAACACTGAATTCCCCAAGTTTCTGTAATGAACTCTGCCATTTCATACCATCTATTTTGTTAACCACATGAGTCCTAATGACAAAAATTTTTGATTTATGAAGTTTAAAGAAATGCTATGTCTGTAACAAATGCTTTAGTCATTGATATACTTTCAGGAAGGGGATTTTTGTGCCTTTCTGTACTCTGGTTGTTCCTCTGAAAATTACCTCAGTCATCCCAAAAACAAAATGCTTGTTTTTATCAGCAGTGAAATAAATGTTCTTGCAAGCACAGTGCGATGAGATGATCACGCTACCCATAAAATTCAGTGGTATTATTTGAGACAAATATGCGTTCTGCTTAGAGTCTGGGCTGAGTTCTGAAAGTGCATGTGTGTATGTGCATTCATAGAATCACTATCATTTACCAGTAGGAAACCATTAAAATATGACATCTTCTATGTTACTAGGTAAGCTGAAACAATAGTAGCCCCTGTCCAAAGCACTGGCAATATGATACTGCCAGAAAACTACCATAAACAGCAATGCATCAAAAAAACATGGTGTGATGGTTACACTCTAGGCCTTCCTGGAGACCAGCTTATAACCAAGAAGGAACTAGGAAAGTGATCACGGCAGTATTCCATGCTATTCCTTTACATAACTTGAGGTATAAATAAAGCCAGCAGGAGGGACCTCGCTCTCTTCCTTTCCGGCGAGGTTCGAGAACGGTGGGTCCCTGTCTCGGTCTGGCTTATCTGGAGCTGAGGCCTACAGTGACTGCTGTTATCTGCCACGCGTGAGGGGAGAGTGCTGGGCTGTGTCTAGCCATCCTGCCTGTTCAAAGGGAAGTGGTGAGATTTTTGCTAGTTTGCCTTCAGTTGGCTGGTTGACTTGCTCGGTCTTTGTCCCTTTTTGTCCTTCTCCCTTCTCCCTCCCCCTCTTCCCTTTTTGGGGAGCTGTTTGGGATTTTTGGAGTTGTGGTGTGTGGTATTCTCGTTGTGTGTATCTGTCTCATATGTAAAATATATATATGTATATATTTTTGCTATAGCTTTGGCTGGTTGGGTCGTTTCTTTTCTCTTTCCTCTCTGGGAAGCGGGTCCTTGTTGTCGAGTTTCGGGGGCTTGGCGGGAAGCCAGCTCGAAACTTGCACACATGGCACACCACCTCCAGTTTCTCTTCCTAAATGAAAATCATTGGTTAAACTTCTAAATTAAATAAAATAATCATCCCCCACAATCCAATGTGTAGATCACAGGACATGACGGTGACACTGCTGGTTACAGACTCACCTCTGTCTCCTGCAGTCTGTGTCCGATGAGGCTCAGGGATTCACCCAGCAGCTGTAAGTGTGCAGCTACATCAATAGGATCTGTCTCAGGGGCTTTGGCTGGTGAGGAAGGCACCACCACGGTGCTTGTGGGGGATTTCTTATGAGGGGAAATCACTCCTGTTGGAGAAGCTGGAAACATGCAAATTAAAATTCCATATTCATTTCTTTCACTGTTTTACTTACAAGCCTATTTACTTAGTAAAGTTCAAATCTCAAAGGCATGAGATGCTTAAAGAGTTCTGTGGACCCAATCCTGTGGTCTTTGGAGTCAAAGCTTTTTTTTCACATGTACAAAGCATCTACCTCAGCTGAATGCAATTGGGGAGATTTGGTATCAGTGATGCCAAACCAAGAACAATCAATTTTCCTCTAGCAGCAAAATTAATCCCACTACGACTTCCTTTCTGCCTTTTCTTATTTTACATTTCAATCCCTATAGTGCTAAAAACAACGCCGTTCTATGAATTAGACAAGGAAATCTGTATGAAAAATGCTGACATCATTCTTGCTCTCACAAAAAAATTGATTTGAGTAGTATGGTGATTTAAAGGTCAAACCTTGTGAGAAAGCTGATGGGGATGTGAAGCAGGTAAGGACGTTTGCTCCCTATTCCACTGGCAACACTATCTTCCCTGACCAAGAAAAACGATGAGGGCAAATAAAGTGCAACAATTACCTTTCATTTTTGGTGCACCATCTGAAGACGATGCCTTTCTCTTCACAGTAGTGGCCTCTGCTTTATTCTGCTTGTGTTGGAGATACTGAGCTTTCTGTTTCCAGATCTGTAGTTATCGTGGTAAGAAAAGAGAGATTCTTAACATTAGGTAATTCTGCTACCTGATGCCAGGACCTGGAGGCAGAATGATGTCATGTAGCTAATGGGTGAAGCAATACCATGAGAAGGAAATGAAGGCTTTTATGTTTGCAAGGGCAAGGTTTCCATACTTTCCATCTTTACATACTTTGGGGACATAGGTAGCATATTTTAAGGTATGGTGGCAGTGCTGCCAGCACATTCTGATCTAAGCACCTAGTTTACAGAAATCATTTTACAAAAACATCTCACACGCACACCCACCAGTTTGTCCTTCTCAGGTAGCTGCTTCCACACTTCTGCCAGTTTTTTACTTAGCTCTCCAAAATCTGGCAGAAAGAAAGAAGAAAAATGTTTAAAACAAATTAGATCATAAAATCAAGGAGAGAACATAGGAAACTTACAGGCCCATCCATACACATTTAGGAAGCAAGCCACTGCACAACTGGAACTCTCCACCCTGTCCTGAAAATGAGTGCCAGTGTGCATTCCCATTACTGTTTAAAATCAAAAAAAAAAGCTGATACCAGGAATATGAAGTGACAGTGTATTTGCAGGACAGTGACACAATAAAGGTAAGTCTCTAAGTAAAGAAAGAAAGAGCTAGCAATTTCTTTATCCAGACTCACAGCTTGGTTAAAATGTAATTATAATACAATCACAAAATCTTTTAGGAAGACATTTTTTACAGACATTTGGAATGGGCTGCCCAGGGAGGTGGTGGAGTCACCATTCCTGGAGGTTTTTAAGATAAGACTGGATGTGGCACTTAGTGCCATGATCTAGTAACTATGGTGGTGTTGGATCAAGGGTTGGACTTGATGATCTCTGAGGTCTTTTCCAACCCGGCTGATTCTATGATTCTATGAAAATCCACTCCTGTCCCCTTTTCCACCTCTTACTCTAAGTTGGCAGATTCTTTGCATTCTGTCAAAAGTAAGGGGTTGGTCTGAAACAGAGATGATATGTTCTCCTAATTAATCCGACTGGTGTATAAGCAAGAGAAGAGAAGGCTCAATTATTTTCTTACCTATTCCAGGGTGCTCAGACACAATAGTTGTACGATACTCTTTACAAAACACTTGATAGGCAGACATGTTTTTCTTCTTTGGCTAGTCAGAAGAAGAAAGGAAACAAAGATTTTTAATCCTGATGAGACCTTCTCCAATTTAATAAGAATTTGGCATTTATTGAAGACCTAAAGAAAAGTATGACACTTAAATCAGGAACCTTAAAAAGCAGTGTTTTACATGTTCTGGCTGAATTTAGTGTTTATGAAAGCACAGGAATCAGCCAGAACCAGTGTTAGTACATGGCTTATCTTACAAAGTTCAACAGCAACCTGCTATTCTAATTTCAGGATCAACATACCACTCTGTTAATGTAGCTCAGTTTTAAAACTTAAAATAAAAACCACTATCTGTTATACTATTCACAGTACCTATTATAGATCTGTCAAAACAATTCAGTTCTCATGATAATATTTTGTTCCATTTCTTGCATCTTTACAAAGTATTTCAAATTGGCAGAAAACAGACTGTGTAAGTACATTGACAGCAGAGGTTTTGCAGTTGCCAAGCTATTATCAAGGAAAACTTCCCAAATAGAATAGGATAATGCCTGAACAGATTTGGGCTCTGTCTGCCCATTTCCTCATACAAAGCAACATTTCTCTATCTGAGCATGCAGAAACTGCTTTTGCCCATTTATAAACTTACACAGCTAGTTACATAATTTGCAAACTTGTTTGTATGCTAGTTACTGTTTCTGCTACTCATTTCTTTACACAGTAACCATGGAAAACTGAATTATAAGTACAGGACAAAACTGGGAACATGGTAGTCTATAAGAATTATAATTTCATTGAATACAGGAGTAAATGGGTAAATATCTTCACTTTTCATGTACAGGAACTGTGATGATGGACTAGATCACTAGTCCAAAAGTCTGCCTGGCAATAGCTTGAACCAGTCATGTTAGAAAATGATGCAGCTGTGCTTGATACCTGACCTGTACAAAGCAAAATTAAGTATAACCTTTCCAGAGAACCTCTATTGGCTAAAGACTACCTGTGCCACAAACCCAAACCAACATATGTTCCTTTTGCTACAAACAGAAATCACAGTGGCTGACAGTTTTCCAAACATGCTTTAGTGAAACCATGGATAGTGGTATTAGTTATCCTTCTGTTTCAGTTTAACATGCCTTTGTAATGGAATGCCTAAGCCACCATTACCCACCACCCAATTTCTCTTTTCCCTCCAATTTTTCCTTACTTTTTCTCTTTCTCTTTCCTTTTCCTTTTCTCTTTCCTTGTCTTTTTCTCTTTCTTTTTCTTTTTCTTTTTCTCTTTCTTTTTCCTTTTCTCTTTCCTTTTCCTTCTCTCTTTCCTTTTCTTTTTCTCTTTCCTTTTCTCTTTCTCTTTCCTTTTCTTTTTCCTTTTCCTTGTCTCTTTCCTTTTCCTTGTCTCTTTCCTTTTCTTTGTCTCTTTCCTTTTCTTTGTCTCTTTCCTTCTCCTTTTCCCATTTTTCAGCTTTGTCTTTCTCCTTGTCTTCCTTTTTCCTCCTTTTCTCACCTTGACCATCTGAGTGAAAAACAGCAGGAGGAGGTGGAGGAACAACATAGGGGGTACTGGGAGGTGGTGGTGACACCCTTACTTCTGCTACCGCCACAGGAGAATGCCCAGAACTCTTTTTAGACTTAGAGTGCTTCCTCTCTCTGTGTTTCTCCTTGTCCTTTTTTTTCTTACTTTTTTTTGATTTCTTCTTCTTCTTGATTTCCCGGTAGGAGTCATCTATCACTAGCTCTCCAGCCTCCAACTCTCCACCAGAAGAAGAACCAGATTCTGGTGGCGCTTCCGTACCTGGAATCTCATACTCGCTTCCGTGGCCCTCTGAATGAAGGGAGGTGTCAGCACCAAAACTCTCAGAAGGCGGATGTGAGTCAGAAGGTGGTTTGTGCTTCTTTCGGGATGACTTCAGGAAGCTCTGCAGTTCATGACCCAGCAGAAATGAGCCTTGCTCATCTCGAGCTGATTTCTTTGAAGATTTCTTTGCAGCTGCTGGTGTTGAAGAGTAGGATAAAGCATCATCATCTGCTGCACTACTTTTCTCTTTTGGTGAGAGGATGAGCTTCATCTTCAAGCCATCAGGTTCACGAAGAGTAAGTGTCTCTGTGTTCACATAGAGAGGTTTCATTTTTTTAGATTTGTGGGAGCTGCCATCGTCCACTGAGTGTTCCCCACTGCTCCCACTCAGCTTTTTCTTGGTGTGCTCCTTTCTGCTTTCAGAATGGCCAGAGGAAGAATGAGACGATTTTTCAGAGGTCCTCTTTGAAGACTTTGAGCTTGTGGCCAAAGGTGAGGTGATAGCCTTGAGTAAATCCATGGTTGGATCAGCTGAGGATGGGCTAGAAGCTGCTTTTTTCTTCTTCTTTGATGGTAGATCCAGAGGCGAAACACCTGAAAAAGATGAAGAGAAATGTACATCAAGATGACTCCCTTAAAGACAGCAAAGAAGGGAAGTGGGGATCCTGCAAGACTTACAATTTACAGCTAACAGATTTACAGCCTGGCTTAAACAGAACATGTCTCAAGACTGCAGCCAGCTCAGCATGGTCTTACTGATACAATTCAGAGGCTGTAACACCTGAGCTGGTGTTAAAAAAATTTAAGGCGGGAAGACAGTAGGAAAGTTCCAGAAATTTTGTCAAACTATTCTATTGTGAAGTAACTTATTTTGATAGAAATATATCTTACTGAGCCTGAAATTACACCTTGAGTGCAAGGTTTTCATGCCATTTTTAGCTAATGTGAGACCAATTAATTGAAAATATGAGCTTTTTCATTCTCTAGACAGATTTTCATGAAATTTCAGTTTGGCTTTCTCCTTCTATTGTGCCAAAACCAAAATTCTAAACATGTTAAGCTTTTATGAGGTGAACTGTCATCTTCTGGCCAACTTACTGTGAGAATAACTGAGCAGAGAAGCAAATGCCAAATGGGAAGGCAAGAGTTAGAAAGCTACAGCTTGTCAATGAAAAGGGGGTGGAAGATCTCTACCCCCAACAATGGCAACTTGTTAAGTTAGACTCTGAAAATATAATTCCCTTATCTTCTGCTGTCTGGTGCTGATCAGCGTCGGGTTTCCGAATACTTGTTCTAGACAGGTTGACTCCCCATAAAATGCTAACCATAAAGCTTCATGACACTGGTTTAAGAGCATCCTTTCCTCAAAGTCATGATCTGTTAGCCCCTTCCCTGCCTGATTACTATTTTACCTCTGTAGCAGAACTCATCGGAGGAGTGCTTCTTCTTCTTTTTGTGAGGTTCTGTCCCCGGAAAAAACTCACTGTCCTGGAATAATAATAAGAAGAAAGTTGCTGACAAAAAAGAGGGAAATAATATGAGATTCACACGGACTATTAACATAGATAATAATTCGTAGGAGATATCAAGAGTTATCTGTACTACTGTAACATCAAGGAACCCTAGGTATGAGCCAGGATCATCATTCTGGGTGCTGAAAGGAAACATGCTCTGTCCCCAAGAGCACACAGTGTAGGTTTAAAGTAAAACAAAACTCAAGTTATGAGGAGGTGGGAGAATACAAAAAATGGTATTAGTCAGGATTGGTTTCAGCACATCAGCCACCAGATCAGCATCAGGCTTTCTGTAAGCATTGCAGCACAACAGGGCTTCAAGCAAATTGAAAGACAGATCTCTAGAGGGAGGTCCCCCCAAAGTGAGTGGAGCAATGCACAAGAAAACTTGAAAAAGCACATTTGAAAAATGTTAAGAAATGGGCAGTGAAAGCTAGCTGTTGGAGATTAGCTGATGAGTTGATAAAAGACAAACATCTACCTCTTAATAAAGCTAAGAAATAACTAAGCATGCATACACTGTCAAGCCATGAAAATGGAGGTGAGCAGTTCTTGTTTAATATGCTGAATAAGATAAAAGAACTGACAGGAGGTATGAAGAGATGACAACTAGAATGGGCCAAAAATATGTCCTTAATATGTCATGTCCCCTAATTATTATTTGTGTCTTGACCAATTTAAGATCCGAAACTGAAGCTCTTCTGCAGAATTCATCTGCATGGTAAAAGAATTTTAAATTAGAACTTGTTTTCCTGATTAAAAAAAATCACAAGGTAGTCACCTTTGAACTAACAGCAGAACTTTTAGCTCAAAGAGAAATGTTTTGCAGAAACTTAAGTTGCCACTATGTGATTTCAAAAGTTAAGGCCCCAAAGAGGTGAACAGGGCAAGTTCATATCTCTCAAGAGCTATTGTTTCAGGCTGTCTGCAGAATCAGGAAAACAACAGTGCATCAGTTAACATTATACCCATCCTTTCTTGGCTAATAATACAACCATAAATTCCAAATTATTTTTATGTGCGTAAGAAGTTATTCATGTAATCTCATGACTTGCAAGGTTCTATATCAAGACTAGGACAACATCCTACTACCAGAAAAATCAGAATCAGTTGTAACTGAGATCGACCCCCTCCTTTTCCCCAGGAAAGTTACTGAACAATACAGGACATGATTAGCTGCTCTTGCTGCCTTCTACATGCATTTCTAAATTTAAAAAAAAAAAAGAACAAGAAACCCATTCCATCACCAGCTTTACGCACATCCTTACACCTTCAACTTTTCCTCTGAGGATTTCCTACCTGAGTTGCTACCTCGTCTTCCTCTTGCAGCAGATCCTTGTAAGAGCGCTTCTTCTCTCGCTGTATCCTGCTGGTTGCCAGCCCGTCATCAACACCTCGGTGACTCTCTAGGAACTCTATCGTTTATGTGAAATGGGAAAAAAGGAAGAAATGAAATACTCCATTAAGGAATGATAGACATGTGGACCACGGACAAAATAAGCAAACAGCAGATGTTGGCACTGAGTGATGCGCAAAACTCAACAAGCACAGGGGCCTAAAGGGGCCTGTACTGTCTGATCACAGAGATGGGGCTCGGTGCTCTAACACTCTAACACAATCACTCCAGATTTAATTTGTAACCCTTGTATATTCCTTCCTAAAGACAAGTGGACCTAGAAATGTTACCATGACTAAACTTATTACTGCTGGTCCCCAGTTCCATTGACCTGGCAGGGAAAAGAAAGGCTGCAGTGGCAGAGTTTCCAATCAGGGTGTCTGCACAAGAAAATACCACCCATTTTTCTCAAGTTCTAATCCCAGTACTTCACACCTGAAAGTCAAGGGCTTGGGATTCTCCAGTAACTTGGTCAGGTTAAATTTAAGAGCTCCACAGCACACCAGCTTCCGTTCCCACTCTGACTGCATGGCCTGGCAAGGCTGCAGAGGGAGGGCACCCTTTTTTTTTTTTTTCTTTGCAAATCTCTCTGAGATTATGAAGCAGTCATACCTTCTTTCTTCTTGGCGCCATCATAAGCCATGGTGGTCCGGCAGGAGCCTGTGAATGAGTTGCCACGTCTGGGCTCCTTCCCCCGTTCCCATCTATAGGAAAAGGTCTGAGAAACAGAGAATGAAAATAACTCTCCCATAAAGAAGAATCACTATGTAAATTGGGAAACTTTCTCTGAACAAAGTGAAGATTCTCTGGAAGACAGTGTGAAAGGAGTCTACCTCTTGATGGGTTTTTGTTTATTATTCAGGCTTGATAGATTTTTTTTTAAAGTAAAATGGATGTTGTATTATTTTCAAGATAGAAAAAGACCACCTCTTCCTTATAAAATGTCCAAATCACTGAAGTAATTTCTTTACAAAAATAGAAGAGGGTGAGAAGGCAACTGAATTTGATTTTCATGACACACAAAACTGTACCCAAACTGTGTCAAAGCCATTTTTTTGTCAGGAGCCACTGTAGCAAAGATTAGGATGTTTAAAAAGAGATTTCAAACCCTTGAATATCAGATAAAGTGAGGGAAAAGAAGGGATCAGGCAGAAATCATTATATTACAAAAAACAATAATTTAAAATCATTTTAACTAAAGGATCACACGTTTTGTAGTGAAGGTGTGCATCCTTTTGATGTGTTTCCCAATGCTACCACTGCAGCCATTCTCAATGCCAGCCTGGGAGAGGGGATGGAAGAGAGCACTCCTTTTCACTAGGCCTTCTCCAGCACCCTAACCTCTGCCAGCCCACAGGTTTCAGGCCTCCTCTAACTGAGTCACCCTGTTCCACAGTTATTGGCATATAAAATGACACTACCATTATGGAATAGCCACACACTGGATTTCGCAGAGCAAACAACTTTTGTTCTTCAGTCAGTGATCAGCTTAGCAAGAAAAGATCAACTTTCTGCTCGTAGGTGATTAAACCAATCACACCCAACTGACTCTGTGTGTTTGTATGTATGTGCACACGTGTAAACACTCAACGATGAAAACCATGCAGCTTGTTCATTCCAGCTGTCACGGTAACTGTGCCACACTGAAGTTACATTGGAATGCTTGGGGAGCAGGGAATTTGTGCTTGTACATCCCTGCACACACCCCAATTTTACAGACAACTGGCTGATGTACAATGTACAACATATCCATTTCTATAGTGGTTACTCAAGTGATATAACAAAGTCACAACTGAATCAAGCATGAGGGTACACAGGAAATGTTTCTGCTTAAATTCATAGGCATACACGTTATTTCTTCAGCTTTTGGGAAACCATCCTTCACAAGATGTCAAGTCAGTATTCCAACCCCTATCCATTGCCGGTAGCAAGCACAGCAATTCTGCCAACACACAGGACCACTGCACATGTATATACACTAGAGCACTACACTTTGCAATAAAAAATGGCATCTTGCTACTTGTGGGCTCAAGATCTTGAACCAGATGTTGTCAACGTCTCGTGATGTTCATCTGTCAGACTTCTGTGGGAAGGCACACAATATTAAAGTGTTATGCTCAAGAGGGAAAGGGCCTAATACAGATACTGCTCAGCAAAACAAAGCCGGAGACAGTCATTCATGAATGGATGACCTGGAGAAACTGGGATTTCTTTGCAGCTACATGCATACCTTTTATTCTATTTTCAATCTTACCTGCTTAGCAGGTACAAAGGTTGGTAGATACTGCTCAGAGGGGCTCGCCACCCAGACCTCCCACCCAGCAAACACAAAACGTACCCTTAACTAGTTTCATCCTATAAATCCTAATTAGGTTCCCCTGCTTCGAATTCCTCGGTGTCAGCAATGACCGCACAGGCTCGGTGGGGAAGCTCTCCCTCCACGTCTCCCGTTCCTTAACGCACACGCCCGGGGGATCGAGACCCAGCCTTGCTGTCCTGCATCCCCGGGGCCCCGCACTTCGCTCCCGCCGCCGACAGACCGCGGGAAGCGGCTGCCTCGCCTCATTTCCCGCCGGCGTTCCAGCTCCCAGCCGGGGCCGAGGGACAACCGGCACCGGCCCCTCCGCGGGCACCGGCCCGGCCGCGCATGCGCCCCAGCACCCCCCGGGCCGGTCCCCGCCGCCGCCTCCGTTCAAAGCGGGCTCGGCTGCCCCGCGCCCCCTCACCCGAGCACGCTCCAGCCTCGCGCCAGCCCGCGGCTCCGCTCGCTCTGCTGCAGGCCCGGGCGTGCCCCGGCCGCGGGGCGGCCTCACTGGCGACACGGCCCGGCGGCGCCGAGCCGCGGGCGCAGGGTGGGCACAGTCTGCAGCCGCCTCACTCGGCCTCGCCGCTTCCCGCCGCGCCGCCACCCGCCGCCGCCATCTTGGACTGGGAGACAAGGGGCCGCAGCCAGGGCCGATCGGCCGAGCGCCGAGTGCCTCCAACGCGGCGCCCGCGGGGTGTGGGAGAGGGCGGGGCGTGGCCTTGCCGAGCGCATCGATGGGTGGGTGGGAGTCGCACATTCCCTGGGAGCCTGGGGCACACGGGCGGGACACGCGTGGGGCACCTCAGCACAGTCCCGGCTCTCACCCCGACCAGCACCTGTGGAGCCCACATCCACCTTCTCCCTGGCTTTGGCGCAACCTCCTCCTCGCGTGTGTGCGTCCCGGCACAGCTTCCCCGTTCTCATCGTCCCTGTCTGCAGGAGACTGACCTGGCTGGGCTTGCAGCCTGGCTTAGTTGTTGGGTGCTCGTGCCTGCAGCGGTGGGTCAATGGGAAAGGGTGAAATCCTGTTATTAAACTCTTACTGAGCCAGCACTTCCATGAGATTAGTCACGCACGCACATGAACGGGCACATCTCCCGCAAGGCCATCTGATTGCTCGAGGAGCTGAGTGGATGCACGGCACAGGTGGAGAGTCGGGACCAGCCGGGGCAGAGAGAAGCACGTCTGAACCGTACACTCGGGGCTGCTGCCGTGAAGGCATCACACAACCCACACATCCATTCTGATCAACTGTACAAAGGTAGTAGGCAAGAGAAAGGCAAATTACCCTCAGCATCTTCTAAAGTTAATTACTGCAAAGGATTCAGGACATTGGTAAAAAAGCTCGAGAAACAGCTAAGTCAGAAAAGACAAGCCTTTTCCCCACTAGGTTAGCCTTTATCTACTCTGACCTCTCGGGAGGTTCAACTTTACCTCATCATCTCCACTGATGCAGGAGGTTTTTTTATTTAGATGCCGGCAGATAGTCGCATGATTCTTTGTCAGATGCTGCTCACAGTCACACGCTGTCTGCAGACTACAATTCCCAGCCATGCCTGAGGTTTAACCTGACCCATCACAGACGCGCAGTTCCCCAGCCCTTACAGATCTGCCTTCTGGTCCTGCTGATGCTTCTGTGTCCTGACAAGTACATAATGATGACAGTAATTATTTGCAGTCCAGTAGGGCCTAGAGGAATTTGAAGAGAACAGAGGTCAGTGCCTGTTATGCTGTGTAAAAGTGTAGTTTGATCCAAAGTGGGAGGTACAGCCTGTATACACAGATCAATGTCTGCAAGTGCAGCAGCTGTAACACATCAGAGTAAAAACCACCAGCCCTTAGGCTGAGCACAAAGCCTATGCAGATGTTCTCACACATGTACACACGTGTGCCTGCTGCTGGTAAAGCTCACTAAAATCACTCCTTGTCCTCCAACCCATAACCCAGGGAGGAATCACCCAGGTGGACAAGTCCCTCTGCAAATTTATGACCAGGATCTTGCCCGAGTTGATCCTGACGTGATCTGCTCCTTGTCTGATTGTTGATGATAATTGTTTTTAGGGATCCCAGTGATAGATTCATACCCCATTTGACGATGCACAACACAACAAAAACACAGTTCCTGTGTTTTTACAGTCTTCAGCTTTCTCACTCGTATTACACACGGTACAAAAACATCTACGGATGTAACAGAAACATCAGTTAACTCCTGGGAGCACTTGGCCTGTGGGTCAGGTGGAGGCAGAATGGGAGCAAGTTAGAAGAAGCTGGTAGCATGGTTGGGAGAGGCCAGGTGCAGCCCAAAGGAACAGGGATTCAGATTACTTTCAAAATGGAAAGCTTAAATTAGCCTGGTATTTGATGATAGCAAGCATTTGGTAATGATAGCTAGTAAAATGTAAGGATGGTATGTTTAATATTCTGCACCCTAGAATGAGAAGGCATTTGAGCTCCCCTGCAGTTTAATGTTTTTAGTGCTGGATGGTTCACAGGTATTAGATTGTGTCAGTGACTGTATGTGGAGGAGAGAGAATGAATTTGCAGGTGAATTTGCAAAAATGAGCATATAGCAGGATACTTGCACAATAAAGCCACTGAAGCACCAATCATTCAGACTTCCCCTGGTGAGATCTTTCAATGCTCCTTTCCTCCCCCAGAACAAACATAATAATAATAATAATAATAATTGTAATAGTGACAACAATAACATGTAGTTCCTCCTACTGCACTTTTCATCAGTGAAGAAATGCTCAGAAAAATTCGTTGCAATCATATCCATTCTTCAGAGCTGTTAAAGGGAACCGACCAGCACAAACCATTGGCATTTCTTGGGTGCTATCAGACAGCTTAGCCTTTCCGTTTTCTAGGAAACCCAGGAATCCCTTTAGAGTGTACACCTAGATTAAATAGGTCAGGTGGGGAAAATGTCAGAATGCCGATAGCAAATTTAAGAGAGTCACAACCCCTTCAAATCCTTAACAGTTGACAGAATTTTTTCTTTGTAGTCTGGAATATAAGAGGTCATAGCGAGTGAATCAGAAAATCAAACAGTCCCCATAGGTTTTAAGACCTGAAGTGCAGCTTCAGTCAGTCTCAGACTGTTGTGTGAATATTGCTTATTCCTTTTGCTCAGAGTATCTTGCATTCTTTTTGCCTATATCCCAGGGAGAGAAACTGCACAATGGTACATGATATGTTCCCTCAGGTGTCTTCTTGTCTGTGAGATACATATTGTATAACGTGCTCTTGCCAGTGCAGACCATTTTAGGATGTGTGTATAGTTTCCTGTGCTTAATGCAAGATTAGTTGTGTGCTAAGGGCTTACCGCTCATGAAGCCTCCCTATATGGTCTTGCTTTCCCCACATTTTATCCACCATATATCCTTCTCTGCTTATTTTCTCCTGACTGAACAACAGTCCAAGCTTCTAGGATTAGTAACTCTTTTTTGTTTCATTGGTGTTTTGTACTTAGTTCTGTGGTGTCTCAAGTACAATGAGTATAAGAGGAGCACAAGCTTACAACCAAGTTATGTACTGAATTAAATATAGCACTCAGAGCTGGATGAACAATTATCAATTTTCCCTGTCATAGTTTGTAACTCATAAATCTCTTTCCACTTCTGTCCCATTTTTCCATATTTTTTTCCTAGATTCCAAAATGATTCGGCATTAACTGAAATGGGGCTTGGATTAAAACCTCTGATCCCCACCTATCCATGAAAAGCCTGCTTTGTTTTACACAGACATAGGAAGAGAAGAGAGTTACTCTTCTCTGTGCACATTACAAGACTTCTATGTCACCAGCTAGAAGTCTTGTCTATGTCACCAGCTAGGGGCCCCTGGTGGTCTAGTGGTTAGGGTGCAGGACTCTCACCACTGTGACCTGGGTTCGATTCCCAGCCCCCTGGGCAGATGGAGCTTGTCAGCCTTGTAAGGCAATCCATCTAAGAGAAGGTCACTCTAAACAAACCTACGTCCTGAGACCCTCACTGCCACTGTCCAAGCTTGCTCGGCCCCGGCAGATGAACCTCAGGATTAAAGGGTGGGCTCAGTTCAGCGCATGCTGGGTCTCACCTAAAAAATCCACTGCGCAGGCTTGAAGGGTTAATGACCTTTCCCAAATCTTCGCTCCCGAAGACTGGCCATTATTATTATGTCACAAGCTACCAAGCTGCTCTTAAAAAGGAAGGACAGCTTGTTACAATTAAATAGGTTCTATGAAAACTAGATACATTTTAAAAGGCTTATGGCTATGAATATGGAGGAAGTGACCACGATGTTGCAGTGGACTTTAGGTGTAATGGACCTTGCTTACTTGCTTGCCAGTTGTCTCAGCCATATAGTTTTCCTTATTCTTATTTATAAAGATGACTGGTGACTCCTGTTTGAATACAAGAACTTGCTTCCTTAGAGAAGCAAAACTTCAAAAGATTTGTTATGTGCATTGTTTCAGTGTCGGGGCTTTACTTAAATTACTTCCCATTTGTCTTTGTTTTCTTGCAGGATGCATTCATTTTCGTGCCTCTTCGTCTTTCAGTATAGTCATTAATGAAACCACAAGGGTGTGTGCATTCATTTGTAATGTGAATACAACAGCCTGAATGTTCCCCAGAGCCACAGCATCTGTCACGCTGGGGACAACACCTTCTCCCCCTGCTCCTGGTGCTGCGCCCTCTGTATTCATATTCGGAGAGAGCTAAGGTGAGATGGGAAGTGAATGTCCATCTGGTAAGGAAAAAGTATGGTGAGTTACAGTAGGATTAGTGGGGTCCAGAGTGGGTATGATTAGGCAAAAGGAAAAGGACCATACCAGGGCGATATGCATAGAGGAAAGGCCAAATGCAGGCAATCAGTCAGCATTGAATTTGCCTCTTTTCACTGATTTTGATCTCTCCCTTCTTGCCACCTGCCAAGGAGGTAGAATGGTTTAATCTGAGTTTCACAGGGACGTGCAAGGCCTATTGCGCTGCTTTCAGCACTGAGCTCTCCCTCCATGCCTGGTCCCTGGAGGGGACCCTGCTGGTCTCTACTGACTGTAATTCCTCACAACCCTGGTCTCATAAAACATCAGGCATTCAGCTTTATCTGTATCCTTGATTGGCATTTTCCCTTTTTTCCTTGAATCTGTTGATTTATTTAATTTCCTTCTCTCATACCTTATTCCATGATAGCTCTCTTCTGTACAGGCCAGACTGACACTGCTCTACAGTGTGGCATGATCCTTCACTGTAGGAAAAGAGCCTGTTACTCTGTGGTGCTTCATTTCTGCAGTTTTCTGTTTATGACAGACCCACAGTGTCGACATCTGTTCTGTACTGTGTAGCAGAAATTACTGTATTACAAAAATTTGTCTTCAAATAATGTAGATGGGTCATGGCTATTTCTGTGGACCAAGCCTGCATATTGCTTCTGCTTCTGGCTACCGATACCATAGCTGGAGATCAGAACAGAAGAGGAGAAGATTTCGCTGTTTCCTGAACAGCTAGAAAGTGGCAGTGGAGTTTGCAGAGGCTGGCAACGGGACAGTACTGCCTGCAGAATTCTTGAGATGCCAGCTGGTGTAATTCCAACCTTGTCACTGTGGTGTGCCATGGTCTATGGAGCTGCTGCAAAAATATGAGCAAGAGGTGACATGTGGAAAGGACTCTGGACTCACTAAATTTTGAGGCACAGCAAAAGCAATAAGATGTACTGGTGTGAAGACTGGGTAAGGAATAACAAAAAGTGCCTTGTACACCCACATGCATTGCAGAGTGGTGTGTGTTGGGAGAAATTAGTGGTGTTGCAGGACATTTTGTATGTTTTATGTGACAGGTACTTTGCAATGCTTTCAGAGTCACTGGACAGGACAACATGATCTGGGTCATCAAGTGCTGTTTCCTGCTATTGCAGGCCCACTGTCATTCAATCCTATTGTAAACTGA